CTGCTGACTTTCCAGTTTCTACTGTCCTCTCACGAGGCCCTACTGTTCTGTGGTTCTCCCATGAGCTTCCTCTTTCAGCTTTACCAAAAAAATCCCAGTCATTCTGGATCCCTGGGCTGGATGCACGGGCTGTAGCTCCTTGCTCTTCTTAATTACTAAGAAGAGGAGGACAGTGTGGTATTTGAGGATAGAACTGACTGTCCAAACCAGGGATCTTTCAAGAGGAAAGAAGGTGCCAGTGCTGATGCTAGGACAGCAGGTGTAAATAAACCAGGATTGTTTGGCAACAGGCTCTCTGGTCATCCTTGGGATGGGAAAAGTGATCTAGGAGACCCAGCTTGCACGCCTTACCCTACCCCTACCTCTCCATCTGGCCTCTGGTAAGTCAATTCTCTACCTTTCCTACAGCACATTAATATAAAGACAATTTGGTACCTACCGCCATCTATTTTAAAGCTGATAGGGGTTCAGTTTCCTTGACTATAAATTAACAGATTCAGTGATGTTTCAGGTTTTTTTCTTACTCTAAGGTTCTAGTCTTCACAACTCTGAAAAGAGGTAATTCAAGGGATGAGGTAGACAGGCAAGAAGAAGTCTTTTAAGACTACATATAGCTGATCGTTTTTACATAAACAGACATGAAGATGTTTAACTAATTCGACTTTAAAAAAAGAAGACCCCCACATATTCACCATTAATGTTATTTGGTTAAATCACCCACGATTAAATTTTATTTTCTTGAGGCCTCAGCAGAATAGCTCCAAAGCTCTATGGCCCCTAAAAGAGGCCAGCTGCTCCTGCTTGCCCATAGTCTCAGGTCCCAGCCAAGGATAAAGTATATTTGTCCCATTTGTCTCATCCCTGACATCCAATGCTGTCATCCTTTCTTGGCCTGTGAGTAGGAAACATGCAGTCTCTTTCCTTCTCACTGGTTCCCTTGCCAGAACTTTTCTTTTCAGCCAGCCTGGACTCTGACTGGCTCTGCATTCCCATTTCTGAGAGATGTTCAAACCATCAGTGAATTAAATTTGTCTAAGGGCAAATTTAATATTCTGAGCTGCAAAGCCTCTCTGGAACAGAGCTCACGTGCCTATGTCACAGAGTCCTGGAAGTTTGCAACGAGAAGGAAACTTATCTACTACATAAGCTTCAGCTCACAGACGACAAAATGAGAGCTACAAACAATAACAACTATGAGTATTTGGGCATTTTGCAAGTTGCTGCACTGGATGCTTTATGCCAATCATTCCCACAACCAGCCTAAGGCCAGTGTCCTTATTACTCCCATCTTCTACATGAGAAACCGAGCTTTTGAGGGATTCAGTATTTGCTCCTTGGCTGGCTCAGCTTAATCTCAGTATTTGTTAGCAACAGAGAAAAAGAATTTTAGCCAAAGTCTGCTGATTCCTAGAACACTGTTCTTTCGACTCTAATGACCAAAAGGGAGGCCACAGGCATTTATTGTGTACCCACCATGGACCAGGAACTGTGCTAGGTGCCAGGACAGCTGGTGGGCTTAGCAAGGGAGACAGAGCATAAAATTCTGCCTTTCCTGGCTCTGGGGAGGAAACAGAGATGGAAAGGTTTCTGCAGAGCTCTGTCTTCAGGGAAGTCAAAATGCTTCAGGGATGCTGGGGTGGCTCTGTTAGCTGAGCCTCCAACTCTTGATTTCGGCTCAGGTCATGATCTCAGGGTCCTGGGATCAAGCCTGGTGTCAGTGTCGGGCTCCGTGCTCAGCACGGTGTCTGCTGCTCCCTCTTCCTCTGCTCCTCCCCCTACTTCCACTCTCTCTCTCTTTCAAATAAAAAAATAAATAAAATCTTAAAACAGGGGGTGCCTGGGTGGCTCAGTGGGTTAAGCCTCTGCCTTCAGCTCAGGTCATGATCTCAGGGTCCTGGGATCAAGCCCCACATTAGGCTCTCTGCTCAGCAAGGAACCTATTTCTCTCTCTCTCTCTCTGCCTGCCTCTCTGCCAACTTGTGATCTGTCTGCCAAATAAATAAATAAAATCTAAAAAAAAAAAAACTTAAAACCAAAAAAAAAAACAAAAAACCCAAACCCCAAAAGAACACTTGACAGAGAAGATCCAGATAATGCTCAGAATATCTCTCAAGAAGTGGGTGTGGGCAAACATAGAGGGAGACATTACTCGGCCTGTTTTGCAACTGAGAAAATTGAAGCAGAACCAATTGTTAGGACTTGCCCAATAGAGGCGGTCGGTAAACAAGGGAGGCCCAGAATGGAACCAAACAGTCTCGGGTCCTTCCACTCCATTCACCGGCCAAAATGTAAATCTCCCTTTAATCTTGACATCTCCCCGCAAATCATTCCAATAGAAATTATGTTACCACGCTTCTCACAATGAGCTAAACCTCCTTTTCTTGAACGTCACCCTTTTCCTCTCTTCTCTTTTTGATACAGACAAGCCAGGCCGTGGATAATCTTCACATGAAAAAAAACAAAACAAAAAACAAAAAAACTAAGAACTGGGAGCATCAGAGTGGACTTCGTTACAACCCTACTAAAGTCAAGTTATGAAGGAATCGTTCTGTAATGACCCCTCTGGCCAAGATGGCGGCGGCCATGACTGACCAGCTGTCCCCTGCTTGGGCCGTCTGGGGGCCGTCCACATTAGCTCTCTCCGTCTCCCAATGGCACACACAGGCAGGTCCAGGGTTCATGGGAAGCTTATACAACATGAGGAACCCTTTCTAAGCAAAAAAAAATTTTAGGACACAGAATCAGATACAGGGTGTTGGAAGGGCCTATGCGAGGGCCTGCGGCGGGAGCTAAGTGTGATCCACAGTAAACGCACCAGCGAGCTTGAAACAGCAAACACCCTCGCCTTCCCGAGTAATGAGACGGGGCTCGGGGAAGTTAGGTAACTTGCCCAGAATCAAGGCATGTGCAAATGGTTAAGGTCAGGATTCGAACTCAGGGTGTCTGACTTCAAATCTCATGAATTTTGTCTGTATTCATACAGCTTCTAACAAAAATAAAACTTCTTTACAAAGCGATAACTATATTCCACGAAAATTATCCATTTTCCCCTGATAATTTTTATAGCCTCTCTATTCTCCTGAGTTGTTATTATTCCCATTTGCAGACCGGGAGACCCAGAATCAAGGAAGGTTAAGCACCTGGCCCAAGGGCCCCCAGCTAGTTCCTGGTGGAGCCAGGGTCCGTGTGGAGGAGTGTGGACGGCAGAGTCCCACCCTCTGTCCCACTCTCCCATGTTTCCATACTACAGGTGACCCCGGAGAGGAGAACGGTAACGACAGTAATGCGTGACATCTGGCTGACTTGGAATATTCCTGCCCACTGAAACGAGCTCTGTCATTCGATTTCATATGCCACGCTGCTCCACGTTCCACAACGGGGTGAGGGAATTCTGAAAATCCACGTCCCCTGTCCTATACTGAATTAGTCTGATCAGAGTCTATTCCTTACAGAGAAAACCACATACAAAAGCCGATCACCAAATATCAGTGCAAAGTCAAGGCCCAGGCAAGCTGCCTCAAAGCCACATCCCTAGTGCCCACGAAAGGGGGACCCACAGAGCATCCGAGGGCTGGTAACATCTGAGGCCCGGGGGAGACCACTCACCTCCCGGAGCTCCCCTGAAACCACCTTTTAAAGCCACACAAGAAGATTCACAGACTGACTATAATTGGATTGCTTCTCACTCTGGTCACCCAAGCAAGAGATTATATGCTTCAACAATCTCGCCGTGGATGTGCAGGTAGCCAGGAATACAGAAGGTTTCCCCTTGACCGTGGGTGCTCAGGGACAACAGCGGTCTTCGGGAAGCTCAGACAGTGAGCTTCATCTTCCCACAATAACATGAACTTTAAAATTAAATTAGGTTTTACCATGACTTTTGCCTTTTAAAATTTGCCTCCGGCTGCCAGATTCCAAGTCATCGATGGCTTTTGGCAACCTCTGTTAAAGGAATATGTCTGTTGTCACCTGAACAAGACAACTTGACTAACCGGGAGTTCAGGGATCAAACTGGCTTTTTAGTCCAGGTGACAGCAAGTGCAAACCAGTGGGACAGATGAAGCACGGGGCCACGGTTCTAAGCAGGAAGGCTGCTCCAATGAATTTTTTTTTTTTTTTTTTTTTTTTTTTTAAAGAAAACGTGATCCCAGTAACTCTCTCTTGTTCCTCTTTCCTCTTTCCACACAGACTGGTGGATGTGGGTGAAAGGCAGCAGGAAGGAGCCCCAGGAAGGTCAAATGACTCAGAAGTCTTCCAAATGACCACTCTCCTGCCCACTCATCTAGGGTAAGAGACAGGCTCCGATTCTTTCAAGAATCTAACTGTGTCCTTGCCTGAAGCTTACGGTTATTTAAGAAAAGCACGAATCCGTGATGAGACAAAGCAACCCAGGCCATCGTGATGAGATGCCCCAGGCTCAGTCGGGGGAAACCAGCACAGACTCTGCGGGACTGACATGTCACCGGCCCGAGGCCCGGCCTCCCGCCCAGCAGCCCCGCCCAGCCCAGGCCGGCGCGAGCGCCGCGGACCGCAGGGCCCCGCCGCTCCGCATCCCGGCCCCGCCGCTCCGAGGGCTGCAGCGCGCGGCGACAGACCCGCCCGGGCTCGGTTTTGTTTTCCCAAGACGTGGGAGGAGAGTGTGTTCGGGCTGAACAGAGACGGGCGGGGGCAGGGAGGGCGCGGAGGGGAGGCGAGCGGTAGAAGGTGAGGGAAAGCCTCTCGGAAAAGTCTAGATGCGCAGTTCCCGCTCCTCCTCCCCATCCTTCTTTAACCCCTTCCCATCCACCCAAGAACACAAGCCATAAAGGAGGGCTGCAGCCCGGGGTCTGCCGGGGGGGCGGTTCCCTGCACGAGGTCCAGCACTGGCGGTGGGAGTGGGGCGGTGGGGGGCTGAAGCGTCCCCCGCCCGACCCGGGAGCGCGCACAGCCGCCCGCCCGCGCGCACACACGCCCGCGCACACACGCCCGCGCACACACACGCGCCCGCGCGCCCGCTTCACCTTCTCGATCGTCTGGTCCACGGCCTTCTGGAAGACCCGGGCCACCAGCAGCGTGACGCTGCTCACCAGCAGGAGCAGGGACAGCGTCCCGACGGTGTAGAAGCAGCACCTGCCCATCCCGCGCGCCGCTCCCGGGCCCGCCCGCCCGCGACCGCGCGGAACCGGGGAGGGGCCGCGGCTGCGGCGGCCTCGACACCCGCGACCCTGCGGCGCCCGCGGCCCCGGCGCTGCGCGCGGCCCCCGGCTCCGGGGCTGGGCTCCCGGCTCGCGTGCACCCGGCCGGCCGCCGGCGAGTGGGACGAGCCGCTTCGCTTTCGGTTTCCCCGGCCGGGGCGGTCGGGAGGGAGAGAGGGAGCGCGCAGGGCGGTGACGCTGGCCGGCCCGGCTCGCCGCTGCAGGGGGAGGCGGCGGCGGGCGAGCAGCTGCGCCGGGAAGCGGGCGGGGCGGAGGCCGGGCCCGCAGTCATGTGCCCCGCGGCGGCCGCGGCGATTCGGCCCCCGCCCGCCGCGCGCGTCGCGGGCGGTCTCCGGGGCTCCCCGGCCGCAGCCCGGCCCAGCCGAGCCCCCGCCTCCGCGACGTGCGCCCCGGCCGCCCGGGAAAATGGCCTGTGCTCCCGGCGATGTGAGCTGCGGGCCTGCCGAGGGCCGGGCGCCGGGGATTCGGGGGGCACCAGCGTGCCCGGCTCCGGACCGGCGCTGCAGGGACAGCTCACAGCGGTTGCGCTTTCGTGGGGTGCGCGCTGAGATGTGGGCGCACAAGCCCGCTCTGTCCGGTGACCGAGGACCCCGCAACCCGACTAGCTCTGGAGGATGTGAAGGGCTGATCCCGTGTGGGGTGTGTGCAAGCAGGGAGAGCCGTTTCAGGGAGAGGAAAAACGTGTGCGAAGACCCCGGGGGCAAAAGATGTCAGGTGGAAGGAGGAAAGGAGAAAGTTCCATCGAGGCTCAGGTGTGCAGGATCTAAGGTGGGGGCGGTGTTGAAATGCGCTTTGAAAGGCTCTCAGTGTCCCGTAGAAGAGCTGGGACGTTATCCCTCAGCAGTGAGGCTCAGGAAGACGCGTCAAGCAGGTGGGGGTGACATTGTCCCTATTGGCTTTGCTCACCATCATGTCCCAGGCAGACAGGCTAAAGCCTGCACAGCCCGAACTCAGAATTCGTGGGATGAATGTCAACCACGTGCCAGCCTTCGGTGAGGTGCTTTCACGCAGCCATTTATTTAATACTGCCACATTGTGACTTGGTGGCTATCTGTCCCACTCCCCCCCAAGAGCAGTGCCAGACAGGAACACTCTGCAAGAGACTGACATGCAGGAAGCCGACCCGGGATGCAGGTGTGAGCTCTGTAGAGAAGCGAGGAAGGAGGGTTATGTGGAAGGACGCGTCTCATGCGGTGGGACAGCTCTAAGAAAGTTCGGAGGGGCTGCGGGTGGTGGGGGGCATAGTGTCCTCAAGCCCCACTGGCCTATCCCAGGAGTCCAGCATCTCCCAGGAGTAGATCTCTTGGACTTTGTCGTGGCTGGGAGCAGCGCCAGGTGGCCTCTGCACCGAGCCAGGGATGAGTATCAGAGACAGATGCACTAGTCGGTTATGCTCTGCATTGGAAAATCCAAAAGGTACATTTCCCTGGTCGCCATAATGGTATGATTCCTGTTCGACAAGAGGAAACCGTGGCTCTGAACGGTAAGTAACCTAACAAGCTTGACCGGTTGCTGAATGGTGGATCCTGTCTAGACAGGAAGGCAGGCCAGTGTCCTCCAAAGTCCCTGCTTTTTCTGCCCTGTGCATTGCTGCCTCCCAGCTGCCGTCCATGAGAATCTGCACACAGGCCGTTCAGCAGGGGGACTTGGTTAAGGACTCAGTGAGATGTATTGAAAATGGTGGCAGATTCTTCGACACTCCTTCTGTTGAGAGGTGGGATCTATACCTTGTACCTTCGAATTTGGGCTGGATTTAGTGATTTCTTAAACCAATAGAATATGGAGAAGTCACATACTCTGGAACTTCTGAAGTCAGATCATAAATGCCTCACAGTTTCTTTCTGCCTGGGGCGCCTGGAAACGATTGCTTTCGGAGGCCCTGAGCCACCTGTAGGTCTAGCCACCCTGAGACCTTTATGCTGGAGAGAACACAGGAGAAGCCGTTGGGAGATGGCCTGAGCCTGCAGGAAAAGAGATGCGCCCCAGCCCCTTGCTGTCCCCAACCATTTGAGTCATGGGCCCCAGACATATGGAGCAGAGTGGTTCTTGCCTTGCCTTACCTGAAATGCAAAATAAAGGATTGCTGTTATTTTAATCCGCTAAGGCTTAGCCTAGTGTGTTACTCGGTTTTGGATACCCAGAACAGATCGTAAGGGCAGGACTGAACCGGGACATTGACAGTGACAGTGGTACCCACGCCCAGCTCTCCAGTGAGTGCCCCAAGGGGGCTGAAGGGGAGAGGTCTGGGGTGACTCAACCCTTCCAAGCCTCATGGCCGCAGTGCCTCAGTGGTCCCAGTCTTCATGTGCCCACAATCAGCAGCCTTCCCCCCCAACACCTGCCACGGTAGTGCTCTATTCTGCCCCCCATCTCTGCTGTAGATTCCAGCCATCCATCTCAGCTCTCCCTGTCCCCCGCTTCGCTTAAGAGACCACGTTACACCCCTACCCTTGCTCCTCCCCTGCCTGGGCAGTGGTTGGAGGCTCTGCAGTCTGTGTGTGTCCTCTCCCTCCCAAACTAGGAAAAAGATTCGGTAACCTTCCTTCCTGAGTGTTTGGCTCCTGGCTCCCAGCAGCTCATGCTCAAATTGAACCCTTCCTCCCCCATGTCTCAGACTAGATTTTCTGTTTGCTAGCTCTATTCTCGAGAGCGAACTCCACAGCTAACACCCACTCCAGGGCTCGGCCACCAATGCCGGGCCACCAATGCTGGGCCACTCTTCCTTCTCCTTGTCCCTGAGGTTCCTTTTGGCCTCTTGTCTGGGCCAGTAGGGGAATAGCAGACCATGCGGATGGAGAGGTGGGCCCAGACGTGAGAACTACATCTTGGTGTGGGGAGGGCTGCTGAACAAGGGTGTCCGACTCTGCTGCCCTCAGTTTACCTTCCCTTTGAGGCTCTCTGGCTCAGGCAACACCACTCCATTGTTTCCATCATGTCAGGCGGCTGGTAAGCTGCTTCCCCTTTAAAATTCTGGTCCAGACTGGACAAAAACCTCTTTCTTGGTTCCTCTTAGCATAGCTGACCAGACTAGCATCTAAAAAATGCACTAAACACTAACAAAAGGACCTAATTACAGAAAATATAAACAGCTTAAAAAAAAAAAATCCATGTTTCCCAAACAGCAGTCTGTAATCCCACAGTAATGGCTGTCATATCATAAAGAGATGACACAGCTTTTTAGTGCCTGGCCTGGCTGGCTTTCTGCTCAGTCCTCTCTTCTTCTCCACCCCATGGCAGCTACAGATAGAGACGATGCCCCCAAGCTCCCACATTCCACAAGCTTCCCAAAGCCCCTTAGAACTTCCTCCTTATTTCTGATCTATGGGACATGTCCCCGCCACTGCTAATTGGCATGATTAAGTCTGTTTTTGTGCTCTAGAAGCATTTCCCTCTACAGGTGAGACTCATGTCTACATAGGAGGGGTGGTACACTGGCTACTATCCCCCTGATAACCACTCTCTTGAGGGGGAGAGGGCCTGGGAGGAGATCACTGCCGCTACTCGCTACTCGTTAGATGCGGAGGCTGACGCCCTGCTGGGAGACAGTCAGGAATTTTCGACTCTATACCTAAAGTCAGGAGAACAGGAATTTGAGAAGGACAAGGGCCCTTATGATCACATACTGGGGCCTTCTGCAAAACTCACAGTCATTCAAGACTCAGAAAGAGAAAAAACTTCCTTCACAAACTCTAAGAAAGGCTCCAGGACAGCAGACTCTGAGACCAGAGAAGCAAGAAGGGCTCTTTGGCCCCCCCCCCCTTGAAATCTAGACCATTTATGTCTTCCACAGAGGTTATTGGGTAATCACTGTGTACTTTTATGTTAAAATTATTAATGTGCTAAGTGTAAAATTTTATTTTTTTAAGATTTCATTTATTTACTTGGGAGAGAGAGAGAGCACTCAAGATAGAGAGAGAAAGAAAGCATGAGCAGGGGGAGAAGCAGAGGGAGAGGGAGACGCAGACTCTCTGCTGAGCAGGGAGCCTCATGGGGACTTGATCCCAGAACCCTGGGATCATGACCTGAGCCAAAGGCCGACGCTGAACGTACTGAGACACCCAGGGGGTGCCCAAGCGTAACCATTTAAAGTATACCCAATTTTTACAGGTAGGGCAGACAAACTCCAAACGTGACTGTGAACAGCTCTTCCTTTGTAGGCCGCTGCCGCTCCCACAGTCCGAGGTGGAGCCTCTCCCCATCCCTTAAATCCGGGCTGGCCTCGACCTGCTCCAGCCAGCAGATGTGGTGGAACTGACGACTGTGTGCCAGCTCCCAGTCTAGGCCTTAAAGGGCCTGGCAGCCCCTTCCTTTACCTCGTTGAGACCCAGCTCCCATGGTAGAAGCTCGGAGAGACCCCTGGGTGATGAGAGGCCACGTGGAGCGAGACTCTGGAGAATGAACGAGAGGCCGTCAGGGATGTCATAGCCCATCCAAACCCCCACACGCTATGGGAACAGAGATGACGGGCTGTCCCTGCAGAGCCCTACTGGAACCGCAGCACTGTGAGTGCATGAATGGCTGTGTGTTAAGCTGCTCAGTTTGGGGGTAGTTGGCTAGGCCATGGTAGACAAAGGGAACAATTTCTGTCTCCATCCTTCTGCTCTTACCGGTCACTGCAAACTCCTAATATATATATTTTTAAAGATTTTATTTATTTATTTGACAGACAGAGATCACAAGTAGGCAGAGAGGCAGGCAGAGAGAGGGGGAAGCAGGCTCCCCGCTGAGCAGAGAGCCCGATGCAGGCTCGATCCCAGGACCCTGGGATCATGACCTGAGCCGAAGGCAGAAGCTTTAACCCACTGAGCCACCCAGGTGCCCCAAGCTCCTAATATTTAAAGAATTCCTTTATGACACAACTGACAGCTCCTGGACTAGAGATTTTTTGTCCTTTATAGGTCATACTCTGAGCACGGCAGAGCAGATGGAATCTGAGGCTGTCCTTGGTCCCGTCTGCTACCTCTTCCAGCCACGAAACCCTGTGTCTTCCCCGTCACCGTCTTTGCAGCCCAAGCTAGGGCAATCTTT